ACAGTGATAGGACTAGAGGAAATGGCTTCAAAGTGAAGCATCGAAAGTTCCACAGGAACTTAAGGAAGCATTTCTTCACTGTGAGGGTGACAGAGCCCTGGAACAGGCTGCCCAGAGAGGTTGTGGAGTCTCCTTCTTTGGAGGTCTTTAAAATCCGCTTGGATGCAGCCCTGTGCCACGTGCTCTAGGTGACCCTGCGTGAGCAGGGGGGTTGGACTTGATGACCCCTGAGGTCCCTTCCAACCTTCGGCATTCTATGATTCTATGATTTTACAGAAATTGCAGCCTTGTTTTGCAGTTTCCTACACCAAACTTGCCCTCTCAGGGCAACCCTATGGTTGTTCTTGCCTGATAATGTCTTACTTCTACAGGGCTGTTAAGTGCCTTGAAAGCAAGGCAGGTTGTACTGCTCAGAAGGAAGCAAGGGCTGAAGAACAGAGAGGGTTTGGATGGACGGAAGCAGGGGTCACTGTGGGATACCGGGGGGCAGAGTGTCCCACAAAGAGGGCAGCCCCTGCTCGTATCTCTTCAGCCCCACCACCCTGTGGTGCAGGAAGGGCCGGGTTGGTTCCTCCAGCAGCAAGAACATGAAGGGAGTTTACAGAGATGGGAAAGTAGGACACAGGGGATGCTAGGGATGTGATGCACATGCTACTGCTTTGGCTTAGGTCGAACAGTAGAATAGGCTTTGCTACGTAAAGCAGGGACAGGAAGGAGGAGAATAGAAAATACCGATAGTCTACAAGGCTGCTCTGTGGCCTGCTGCCACCCCAGCTTTCTGACCATGTCTTACCAAAACCTTGCAGGGATCGCACTTCGTAGTTCTTTGTAGTTGAAGAAATTTGAACTTGTAGGGAAGGAAAAAAAAAAAAGATTTTGGTAAATCAGTGGAGTTTAAACTCAGTCCTTGTCAAAACAGGAAGAATTTTATGCAYTTTCAGAACCTCCAAATACAGGCTGAACTTTCACGAGACTAGTGTGAAGCCTTTTCCAGTGCTTCAGTGAATGGACCCTTAGACGAAGTGAGTTTAGAGACGTGTGAAGTTTGAATGGTCTCTCTAAGTCTGTGAATTCACTGACAGCCCAATGTGATAGTGGTATGAATCCAAATGCTACATCTGTTTAGGTCCTTGTTTGCCAGCCTAATTAAAATAGAGAACATTTTTATATACTGTAATGGATACAGAATAGTTCTGCGCAAATAAAGAAGTTTGGGATTCTTTGTTTTCCTGCTATTGCTGTAATTGCAAGGAGCTCTATTCAGATGCTAGGATCTGATCTCCGTTCAGYGTTACAGAGAAAGCCGAAGAATATCATCAGAACTCAAGAATTTACAATATAAGTATTGAACTTGAAAATGGATGGATGGAACTAGCAATAGGGAGTTGATTTGACCAGAGTGGTCATCATAGCAGTCTTTTATTATTATTATTAAAAGTTACTTAATGGCTGTGATGGTTTAAAACCAGTCAGAATAAAGCAGTTTAAAAAATGACTTGATGAGTGAGGCATCTTGATGGATGGTCACAGGAAACTCCTTCCTGGCACAAGAAACAAAATAGGAGATATAATTGRTGATTGGAGAAGCTGCAGATGAAAGCATGTGCTATGGTCCCCTGGAGGCAGAAACTGCCCTCCTGAATGAGTTGGAAACTGTAGAAGGACGGGCAGACAAAGCTGTGACTTGTCTGACATGGTCAAGAATGAAGAAAATGAATTTGGTCAAAGTGATGGATCACAAAACGTTTGCAGCAGCTCTCTGCAGGATCTTGACATCAAAGACCGTGTTTGTGCAGTTAGCTGAAGGGTTTTCAGAAATTGCAAATAAGACGGCAGGCTGAAGGAGAACTTTAGCTGTTTAGATTAGCAGGAAACCGTGATGCATGTCATAAATACCAGAAGGTTTTACTTTAGCTTGATGCGAATTCAAAGAGAGATCAGTTGCAAGTGGAAACTGCTGAGGCAGTAGGCCAGAGTTGGAAGTACTGAAGGGGTCCTGTCCGTGCTGACTGGGTGGAGAAAAAGGAAGGAAAGGGAAAATCCGTCGCTGTGGTATTCTTGAATCMTTGACAGCTGGACATCCACAAGGAGACAGCGGAGACAGGTCAAGACCTTGGTCAAGACAAGAGACACATCTATTGGCAACAGTTTTCTTTAGATTAAGAGAGATACTACTTTATTATTTTAAATTAAGATGAAATTTTGTAATGTAATATATAAAGGGACTTTATACTCTCCTTTCTTACCCTATTTCCTCATGAAAGACCTAAGATCCTTCAACTTTAGTTTGCTTAATTGGAAAAGACTTTAACGTGCCACTGTGTTCACTTTTACAAATTCCACGATGCTGTTTACCAGTAGTGTCGCAACAGTCAATGGGTGTTTTCAGTGCACTTTGATATGCATTGCTTGAAGGACCCTTCAAATAGTCTAGGTAGGAACTTGCTCACAGAAAGAAGTTGCCAAATTTGGAGTACAGATGACTCCAAAAGGAAAACAGAAGGAACTGCTTTGTTTCAAATTGGGGTCTCACCCAGTAGACTGGATAATATTAACATAATACCATTCCTTTTACTGCTGAGCAAAGCAGTAAAACTGCTGCTTTCTAATGCAGGCTTTAATAGCAGAGATGTCAATTTGCTACTCGTATTCAGATGGCTGTACAGAGTAAATCACAGTTCTTAGAAGTATTTTCACAGGCTTGTGTAGAAATTGGTACCATAGATAAAAAAAAAAAAAAAAAAAAACAACTTTTTAAGTGGAAGCTGGGCTAGGCTTGTGCTGCAGATTGCTGAGCAGCCACTCACCAGCAGCCTCAAAAGCTGCTGCGAAGACTTTCAAGCTGCGAGGGGTAGCTCCTGCCCTGTGAATCTGTGCACAGAGGGGAATCCTAATTCTCGTGCTGAGGAGCCTGGTTAAAAGATGTTTCCAGGGAAGCCGAGCTGCTCCTGTGGCCGAGCTCTGACAGACGCCGTTGCGCTTTCACGAGRTGGAGTTTTGCAAGGCAGCCCTTTGTGCCGCTTGTGGCTGCGACAACCGAAATTTGGAGGGGATAAATAACTTGATGCATCGCTGGGCGGCTGGCGCGACACGCAGGGCAAGCGGGAGCGCGGCCGCAGCGCGGGGCGAGGGCGGGCG